CTTCTCTAGAGGGAGAGAGCAGGTTTGAGTTCCTTTAATCTAATAGGAAATGTCTCCTTCCCTTTCATATGCAACACTTTCTTGTGGTATGCAGTCATCCACCAGGATTGCTCCATTCCATTTCTTTCAGCATTTCCCTTTTTGCTGTAGGAAGACCTGTCCCTGGTGATCAAAGGCATCCTTCTAAACTACAGGGGCAGAATGAGGAAACAGGATGCTGGATAAGGGATCAGAAAACCTGCTGGCTACATCTCTGCAATTAAGCATGTCTTGGAGCAAGACTCGAGGAAATGCACAAGTGCTGTTTGCTGCCTCAGTTTCCCTGGTCCTTAGCGTGGGGATAATTGCACTTGCTTCCTTTAGGGAATTGCTCTGACCTCTGCATACTGAATTTCCTTTCCATGTTGGTTCTGTCATTAGCGCAACTGGCTCAGCAAGACAAGCAAGCGAGAGGGACAAATACCAGAGTTAGAGGTGAGCTGTGCCGCTTCCTCATGTTCAAGCTCTCCTTCCAGACTGGGCAGTGTCTTGATCCCTTGACTGAGCAGGCAGCAGTGCCCTCCTGGCTGGTGTACGGAGTAGCAGTGGCTTGTTATCCCTGAGGAAGGCTCAGAAGGGTTTGCTGTTGCCGGTAGCTTCTTCCCATAAGAGTCCAGGACATGTTCTGGAAACATGGGACTGCGGTCGCTGTTGAGGAACAGTATTGGCAGCAGGCAAAGATGAAAGAAAACTGAGAGGACAGAAGCTCTAGTTATAGCTATGGCTTGGGGGCTGATAGGTTATGTATTCGGGTGAGCCAAAACCAGAACAGGGAGAGGAGGACCTGCCAGGTAAGAGAGACCTGCTTCAGTTTACGGGGTTGAAGTGGTCATTAAAGGCCCCGAGCCCGCAAGGGGGAGCCTGGATGAAGTCATCCACTGCACTGCTGATGAGATCAGCTCCAGACGGGAAGAGATCTGCTACTGATACTAGTGCACTTGGGATTCAGGTGTTGAGAGGGGCACTTGAAAACGTGAACAGATTCACCCGTTTTTGCTGTTATCACTAGCAGATGAAAGGGGTGTCATTAGAAAGCACAACTATTCGGGGGAAAAAATGGTTTAAGAGGCTGGATTTTGCCATGATACAGTCTAGCTCTAAAGAACAGCAGGAGGGAGAAGGAGAAAAATCCTCTTGCAAAGGCATTTTTCATGGGCATCCAAGCACGATCTGAGCAGAGATTGGTGACACCAGACCAGGCATCCTGGAGCAAATCCCCAAGCCTGGATGATGAACAAATCCCTGCATTGCGGCGACAACGAAGTGTGACGTTTGCCAGGGATGTTGAGGGGGGCTCAGACGCAGCCGTGTGCAGCCACTCTTTTACAGCACGGCACAGGGAGGAGGCATTCCCGCTGCGGGGTGCCCCGGCAGAGGATGCACGTGCTCTCTGCTGTGCAGCTGGCTCACGTTTGGCAGCTGGGGAGCTTCAATAGATGGGTTTTGGCCTGGGCTTGCAAATCCCCCATTGCCAGCAAGCCCGCTTTGGCTGCAGCTGCCTCAGGTTCCCTGTAGGAAACTTCAGCGCTGGCTTAAGTCCGGGCTGTGAAATGGCAGAAGGAGGCAGTCCGGCAGCTCTCTCCCTCCAGCCTGGCTGTGCAGCGTGTGCTTGGCAGCACAGTGAGCTTCAGCCCCAGTGAGAAGCAGCGGAGCGGAGTGAACCTAGTGCTGGGGCATGGCAGACGTGGGTTAGGAACAGAAAGAAAACTGTGACTGAGAAGGAGCTGGAGGAGGGAGACAGTGTGTCTGTGTATGCAAATTTGCTGAGGGTGGACCTGGCCTTTCGTAGGCGATTTTCTGGCCCCTCTGGCTTTGTCTGTCTTAGTAAATGCAACAGGAGCAGGGCCAGGCCCAAGTGCTGCCGTGGGATGATGTCTTACACTGTGTGGTTGTTAGCACCCTCCCCAGCACGGGTTTGGGCTGTGTTAGCTAGTAGTGCTGCAGCACGCAGGCACAGCTGGGGGACAGGGTGGGCTGGGGACTGTTCCCAGCAGAGCTTTGGTGTCACTGAGCATTTAACCCCATAGAATCATGGAATGGTTTGGGTTGGAAGGGACCTTAAGATCGTCTGGTTCTAACCTCCCACTTTCCACTAGACCAGGTTGCTCAAGGCCCTGTCCAGCCTGGCCTCGAACACTGCCATGGATGGGAGTAGTGCCTTGGTCCTTGCTTTCGGGCCAAGAGCGAAACAGCTACACCCTGTAAGCCCAGGTCCCTCTGAAGGCAGCCTTTTGAAGTGAAGTCCCCTGCAGCTTGCATATTTACCCCTTAATTTTTCATTTTTTCCTCTCTCCAAAAGATGGGGAAATGTCACTTAACAGGTTGTGAGTGTGCAGGGTGGGAGTGTGTGCGCCAGACTGAAACTGGGAAACACTGTCTGCTGGGCATGGCTGAAAACAGGGTTGTGACTCAGTGTCCTACATGCCATGCTATGTATCACTGACCGCGTCTGACCTCCTGCCTTGTGGGGTGAGAGATGCTCTAAGGAATTGTTGTCTGAGCACATGAGGTCATGGGTATGTGGGGGCCAGCTCCTGGGTGCAGGGGATCAGACAGGGCTGGGTGCACAGGCATGCTGAATTTGCACCTCTGTCTCTCCTGGCTTGGGCAGGCAGAATAAGGAAGCCATCCTGTTGCCCACAGAGCACATGATTCTGCAACCTGTGTCATGTTTCCCGCACCACCCCAAACTACATCAGGTTTGGGAACTTGCTTGGGGAGCAGAACAGGGCAGAGCTCATGTATCCCCCATTTAATATGCTGCTGAGACAAGGTCCCCAGCCTTGGATCAGGCAGGTGCACACCTCTGGCAGTATCTGAGCAGCCTCTGCCTTGTCTCTGCCTGGAGGGGCTGCACACTGTTGTTCCCCTCAGCCAGTGTGTGTTTTGAGGGCAGCATCCATGCTTTGGGTCTTGCTGCAACCACACTGAACCTTGCACATTGCCTCTGCTGGAAGCATCTCCTCCTTCTGCCATCCCTCATTTCCTGAAGGAGATACTTCCAGCAGAGGCTGCTTCTCTTTTCCTTGCAGAGGGTAGCTTTGCATCTCAAGCAGCTCACCTCCCTGTAGCTGTGCTGTGGCTGGGTTTCAGGAGGAGGGTGCGTGCTGGGAGTTGATGGGGTTAAAAGCACAGTGTCACAACTGGCTCCAGTGGGCTGTGAGACCTCTTCCCTACAGCTTCCTTTAGCTGCTGTGCTGCTCCTGCAGCAGCCAGCCACTTGCTGGTGTCCAGAGCTGGTGCTAAGCATTCTTCAGCTCATCCTGAGCTCGTCCCTGGGGAGCTGCATCTCTGCTGGAGCTGTTCAGGAAGGATTCCCACCCCTTTCCTAATGAGACTGAGTAATAGAGATGTTCCTCAGGGACGGTGTTGTAACGAGTGCTACGTGCATGTTCAGGACCAGAGAGCAGGTTGCCACTAGCTTTTCCCTGCTGTTGTGCAGCAGACATTGATGCTTGTCCCATCTTGACAGAGGAGATAAGCTATCTGTGTGCAAATGGGAACCTGCCTGGCAGTTGCAGCCACCTGGTCGTCACATTGTTCTTATCAGATCTCCTGGCTTGGTGAGTCAATCTGTCATGGAGAATGGACCTGTGTTTGGGGCTATTCAGCCTGGGATATGATAAGATTTGTCTGGTGGTGAGTTGTGTTCAAAGCATTTAGTTTGTAATACCATTTTCCCCTCTCTGGAGCAAGCATTCTCCATCCAGGAATCTGACTGCAGTTAAAGCTGGGTGTCTGCTTCGTTGCTGGGGAGCTTTTGGAAGAAGGAGTATGGACAAACCTGGGGGCAGCCAGGTTCTGGCCTTGGTGTGTTGCTGATGGTGGGGAAAATAGGGACAGCAGGAAGAGGCACAAAATGGAGGGAAGGGAAATAGCCAGAGAGAGAACAAACAGCTTGGCATGACTGCCGGGAATGCAGAATAAACATCCACCGTGGTCGAGTGAGGGCTTATGTACTACGTGCTATATGGAATGGGTCAGAAACAGGAGTAGAGGCTCACAGAAGCCGTCCAGAGGAGGGACAGGATGCCTATATGGGACTGACCATCAAAACAGGGTGTCCTCAAATACATGGTGTTTCCCTGAGTGCCCAGTATACTGCTGGAAAGGGAGATGAGGTGTCCCAGCAATGCAAAGCATCTCCCTGCACTACTGTGTGGAGATGAAGCATCTCTGGGCAGTGCCTTGACCCAGCGGGCTCAGGTGCTGGCTTCAAAAGCTCCTTCACGTGGTGCCAACTCGGCACAAGGCTCTGGCTGTAGCTCCTCCCTGGGAAGCAGTGCAAAAGTAATTCAGCACGCATGCTGGTGGGAGTTGGGACCTCCTCTGCACTTTGCTTGTCCTTGGAGCCCCTGCAGCAGGTCAGACTCCTTTCCCTGTGGCTCGTTCTGAAGGTCCATGGGTTCATGTATTTTTGGTGCCCTTCCCCCTGGAAAGGGGGAGGAGAGGAATGGGGAGAGTCAGTTGTGTGGGCCTGGTCTTTTCTTAGGTCTCCTTCAGATGCCTGCAGTTTCCTCTTCAGATGCCCGTTTCCCGCACCGAGTCAGTCATTTTGGGATTTGGATTCCCTTTTTTTTGGCAGCTTTTCTTTCCCATCTCCATCTGGTTTGGTTTTTACTGTTTCATTTTGCAGGGCCATCAAAGGGAGTTTGTTCAAGCTGATTTTGGAGCAACAGATAATTTTGACTTGACAACCCCTTCCTCTGCAGACCTCAGCCATAGCCTTAGATCCAGGGTGGGTCATCCCTGTGCACCCTCTCGAAGCTGATGAGTGGTAAGGTGGGTGATGCTTGCCAATGGGGTTGAGGGGTACTTGGCTTTAGTGATGTGAGCATGGGAGAACAGACCTTTTTGATTTTTGCTCCCCTTCTTTCCAGCCCATGAGCTGTTAATTCTTGTGGCTTTTCAAAACTTGCTATTTCTCCCTTAGCATTTTTCTTTTTCTCTTTTTTTTCCAGTGGATGAGCCACCCTTGGCACTGCGCCTCATGCGTGTGACTCAGATGGATGCTGCTCTTCTGAAGGATTCCTGCAAGTACTCAGAGTTGTCCAACCTGCTTGGGCTCAGGCTGGAGCCTGTGAGAAACGTACTCCCTGGGCAGGATAGACCACTGTGTGCAGAGACATCCCTGCTGTCCTGTGGGATGGAATTGGGCTGGCTGCTTGGAGCTCAATGGAGGGAGGTCCCCATGGAGCTTTTGTGTATGGCGCAATGCTGTGTTTCTTTTTTGCTTCTTCGGGTTCCAGCCAGCTGGCCTCACGCTGTCTTTGTTGTGGGAAATGGTCCCCTTGAAGTCAGGGGAATTGGGCTTGGGGCATCTCGGAAGTCCCCTGGCTTCCAGTGTTGTCAGTTCAATTGAATGCCTCAGACTTAATTGCACCCACCCAAGGGCTAATGTTTCTCAGAGGCACTGAATGCCTCAGTATCTCCTACTGATAGTAGATGGTGTGGTGAGAGATCAGCATTTCTGATACTCTAGCTGCATTAGCCAGGGGAGCACAGCTTCCTTTTAGCTTCTTGCACAGGTTTGCAAAGCTAGATTTATTTTTTTATTATTCTTGTTTTAATCTGGCCATGGAAGCTTTAAGATGGGTATCAAAGAATTGGGTTTGGATGTGAACTTGGGTGTCTTTGCCTCAATTTCGCCAATTCTGTGCAGGATGTGGGGGCTGCCATCTACCTTAATGGTAAGATAAAGCTGTTGGAGATAACCTTTTGGTGCAAGATGCAAGTGGAACATAAAACCTCATGAATCTGATCCTTTGTGGGGTGGTCTTTGGAAGATCTTTTTCCTATTAAGCTAATAATAGCTCATCGAGCAAGTCTGGGTAAAGCTGGGAGATTACAAAAGTTTAGGAGAGAGGGAAGACATGAGTCTTCTATGCATCTTCTCCTTGCCAGTAGGGAAGCTTTCAACACAAGTGCGTTTTTATCTCCAGGCGTGTTTTTGAAAGCCTTTCCCACAACCCACATTCCTGGCATGCCCCCACGAGGGAAAGAATTAGAGAAATGAAGGCTGGAAACGGAACTGGGTGGCATGCAATCACTCCTCTGACCTCCCCTCCCTATCCTCTGCTGGTTCAGTTTGTTCTCCTGCCCCTCAGGCAAGCTGGGCACCCATAAGACATTACTTGGGTTAATGAAATGGCCCTTGACGCTTTACGAGCCAGCTTCCTTGCACAGGAACCACCTTCCTCCCTTCCCCATGCACAACTTGTACTACATAAAAACGTTGCCACAGACTTCAGAGCTGCCCGACAGAGATGTCCTCTGCAAAGGTATGAGGGCATAACTTGGCCATGGGGATGGAAACCACCCGCCAGAGCATGTTTGAGCTCCCCATGGAGATGGGAGATGCCAGTCACTGTGGCACCACTGCCTTTCTCATAGGGTAGGGAGACAGAGTGCTCTGTGCTCTTGATCTGCTCCGCTGCTTGGTGCAGGTTGCCTCCTTTACTCCTGCCCCTAGTCCTGAAGGAATGTGTTGGGATTTTTTCCCACATTTTAGCTGTTCCACTAGCTTTGTCCTTCCTCCTTATTCCCCACATCCTAAGGAAGAAAAATTGCACCCTACAGCTGAAAGGGGGTGATGCTGGTGGAGAGCTTCTTGGATGCTGGTGGCCTCTAACCCCTTGCCTTCAGGTTCAGAGCATAGATGCTGCTTCCATACTTCCCAGAGGGGCTCTGATGATGCACAGTCAGAGAGCTGGGACGTGAGGGGTAGCAGGAGGTTTACCTCCAGTCCTTCATTCCTTCCCATTTTAGTTGATCTGAATGCAGAGACTTCTGTGCCTTCCCTAGGGGAGTCATCTCACTCTACGTAACCTCTTAAGCAGGAAATTAGTGCTCCTGGGCCCTAGCGTCCTTGTGCTCATCATTGCCGTGGCTTCTCCTGCATCTCCTGGACAATCCTCTCCTGTACACACCCTCAAGATCTGCAGACCTGCTTATCCAGTCTCGGGCTTACCTCAGTGTTTGGCTGAGGTAAGTACATGCTGTTCTTTCGGTCCTCCTCCGTTAGGAAGCTGGCTGACTTTCAGAGCTTGGGGATCGGTTCATGATAGTTGCAGCACTATCTGCTGAGAGGCAAACCAACACCTCTCCACCACAGGGGAAACCAGTCATGTCCAACCTCTCTGGGAATTTCTGGGACTGTTAGGTGGGGGACTGATCATCTCCATCAGGATGTGGTGGAAGCCTCTTCTCTGTCGTGTCCTGAGCCCTGGCCTCTGAAAATCCAGGGCTCAGCTTCTGGAAGTGCACCCCACAGCCCTCAAAGGCCACGGGCATTCCCCCCTAGGCTTCATAAAAGGGGGAAACCAAGGCAGAAATGTGGCTCAATCAGAACTGCTGGGAGGAACCTTAGCCAGGTCCCAGATAAGGTCAGAGAACACGGTTTAAATCAGGTCACTGCTCAATATTTATTGTGTGGAGTTTTTCTCTTTTCTTTTCTCCCGCACTGAAATCCTTCCCCAGAGGCTATTCAAGGAAATAAATAGCCAGTGGAAAGGGACAATAGCTTGCTGTGGAGTACAAATTATATGAAGCAGTAGGAAATAATAGCAGAGTGAGCAGCTGCTACCCCGAGAAAGAATGCATGGTCGGGCTCTCCAGCTGCCTTTGCCTGGAGTGGATGCTGATGCCTGTTTTGCAGCACAGGCTCCCTGGTGCCTTGAGTGCAAAAGGGGACTTGTGCCTTTTCCCCTCTGCAGCATCCTTCTCTGGTGCTGCTGCTTTTGTGTCTAATTGGTGCCGAGCTGAAACCTCAGCCTTCTGTGAGGGTGTTAAAGGGATCTTTTCCTGCTTCTTGCAGAGCTTGGTTTGTCGTTTGGAGACCTTCATCATAGCACTGTTGGGAGGGAGGGTGTGGACCATTTTGGTGTGCATTTTGGGGGCTACCCCTGCCACAGAAGGCCCCAAGAAACCTCTTGCAGCTTGGGTGGTTGGGCTGCCTTGGCTAGGAAGTGGGGAAGCCTGTGGTTTTCCTCAGGGTTTAACACCTATCTGGCTTATCTCCTGCCCGAGTAAGGAAACTAAATAAATACTGCTGCCAGCAATGATGATGCTGAGGATCTTGGCAGCCTGCTGTGGAGGGTGGCATTCAGTCTGTGTGGGTGCCTTGTGGTAGAGGTAGCACCTCTAGGCTATGGTACATGAGGTGCTGCTATGTGGAGTCACCCTTTGGGTGCTTCTGGTGGCCTGAGATCTCCCCCATACTAGCAGGAAGGCTGGGGAAGGACTTTTAACTCTAAAACCTACCTTATGGGGCCTCTTGAAAATAGAGCTGCTGCATTTCATGGGGTGAAAGCTCTCTGCAGAGGACCTGCCCTCTGGCTGAAAGCTGATGTGGTTGCATTGGTCTCTTCCCTCCTTAAAATATGATTTTTCTGGTGTTTCTCCATGCAAAATTGCAGGCTTGCCTACTCCCTGTTGGAAGCTTGCCTTGCCTTTGGGTTGGGCATGGCCCCCACCCTTGCACCAGTGACTGCTTCTTCTGTCTCTGCTGTCCCAAGGCATGTTCTGGAAATGAAGCAAAGCTTCCTCCCCTGCCAGCAGTGTGAATATGGGTGTCCCATACCACTACAGGCCAACTGCCCTCCGGACAGGATGATGAACATCTATATGGGGTCCTGCAGAAGGGCTCCCAGACAGGTACCCTTTCATAGGATCATCTCTTGGGGGCGAAGTGTTCCTGGATCCCTTGCACCAGTGGCTGCCAGCTTCCACAACCGTTGCTTGTATTTTCCTCACTGCGCAGACCCTCCATCTCCTTTGCAGATGCCCTTTAGCCGGATTTCCTCTTTCTCTGGGATTTATGTTCCCATCATATCACCGTTTCCCCAGGCTTTCTGCTTTGCAGTGTCTGCAGGGAAGTATCAACCTGCCCCTTCACCCTCCTTGCATCATCTCAGTCACCACCTCCAATTGGACTGGGGAATTTTGGCTCTTCTGGGGTCCCTAATGTCTCAGCCCCTTCCTATGTGGAGAGCACGTACCCCTACATGAGAGAGGCCATCTGCACAGGGCTGGTGTCTGACCACGCAGAGGCTCGGCTCTGCAGACGAAGGAAGTCGCCAGCGCTGGCAGAGTTGCTGTCTGGTTTCCCACTATTGTTCCCAGTGGCAAATAAAAGGGGGGTGAACGCCCCTGCTGAGCATTGTAGGAGGGGGGTTAATGTTATCTCGATAAAATCTCACGGCCCCTCTCTGAGCAGCTCGTGCCTCTTTCCTGTCTGTCTCTGTCTCTGCATATTCTCACATCCGTGGTACTTGCAGCTCTGCACATAACTCTGCTCAAGCAGTTCTCCCTATCCCTCACACACATGCTGGGCAGCCTTCTGCTCTGCCAGTGGCATGGGTGGATAAACCCCAGTGAGAGTGATGTTTCTGACTGGCCTATGTGGGAAGCCTCTTATACATTGCTAGCCTGGGACCTGGGTCTTGTCTCTGTTACAACATTCCTGTGTCACCTTGGCCAGCCACGTAGGACCGAGTTTAAGGTCTGTCTTGGGATGTAATCTCTTGAGCCTTGGAAGTGTTTGTTTCTCCCTGCTGGCTTAAAGTGAGTTCAGATAACTAACCTTGATGGTGGCTATGTGAACAGTGTCTTTGTGCTGCCCTTGTCCCTGCAGAGGAAAATGGGAGTTGCTGGAAAGAGAAACCTCTCATAGCCAGTGGGATAGTCTGATATTTTGCGAGGAGGCTCTGGGCTCTGTGTTCTCCCTGGGATGGCTGCAGGGGAGCAGGATGACATGAAACTGTGAGTGGGACACAGGAGTGTGATGGGGAACAGACCCAATGCCAGAACCCACCATCCCCAACACTAGCTCCACTCTCAGCCCAGGGAGGTTTCATCAGTAGCTTCAGTGACCTCAACAGCAAACAGATTTCTCCAGTCTGTTGGGCTTTATGACCCCCTGCTAACAGGAAGCACCTCCGGGGAAGGAATGTTTATCAGCACTTACCTCTGCTCGCTTCAGGAGGTTTTGGGGAAGGGCAGAAGCTGTCTCCCAGCTGGCTGTGCAGCAGCAGGATGACTGCACTCAGCTGATCTCTGCAGGGCTTGAGAGGGAGGCTGAGGGGCTGCCGGTCTCCTGGGTCTTGGCCTCTTCCTCCCTCTCCCTTTCCCACTGACTTCTGGAGTCTGGCAAAACACTACCAATTTGTTCAACCAAACCTGGATCACTATGTCCTGACGGCTCTTACTTGGGAAGAAGACAAGCAGGGGTGATGCTCCCCTGTGAGGACAACCTTCCCATGTCTCGGCTGGGGAGGATGGTGCTATTGAACTTGATGAGCATGGCTCCTCACGGCGAAAGAATTCGGTCTTGATGGAGCTTGGATGGGAGGTTGCAGAGAGCTCCCACATATTGCTAGTGCAGTCCACACAGCTGGGGCTGAATCTAGAGCCATGACAAGGGAAAGGGCTGCGATGCCACTTGTGTCACTCCAGCAAAGGACTATCCATAACTCATGTCATCTAGTGGGGATGTGTTGGCAGCCCTCTCCTCTGAGCCCCTTGGAGCTCTCCATTGGAGCACTGTGGGAGGGATGGTTGGACAGTTTTGGTGTGCTGGCGTGGGTTTTGGGGGCTGCCTCCTGCCACAAAGGGAAGGATCTGAGGTGCTGTTTTCAGCTGAGCTGTTACACACGGAAAAGAAGTGAATATGGTGGTCACACCTCCATGGCCAACTGGGAAGAAGATTGTCCTATGTGTTGGCTGGACTAAGACCCTGAAGGGCTGTGTGTGGTGGTCCCTCCACTGGGAACCCACCAAGGAGGCTGGGAATTAGTTTAATCTTCTGAAGTCCCTAATGATAGGAAGAATACATAGGGAAGTTATTTCTTTGGGTCAAAGTCTACTGCCTTAATAGTAGTTGGTGGGGCCTTGCACAGGCGGGGGTGCTGTTAATGTGTAAGCCACAAGGAAGTTTAGGGATGGTCTAAGGTCCTCAGTGTGAAGCATTTCTGAGCTAAACTGCTGGTGGCTCCCTGCCTGGTTACTCTGCTCTCTGAGGAAGATGTCTGTAAGGGCTGTTGCTCCTATCTTCTGTCACACAGGGTCCCGAGCTCAGCAGGGCTGAGTGAGGGATCAGCAAGCTACCTCTGCTTTCACCACTTGCATGTTACTTCTTGGGCAGCAGGTGATGCTGCCCACCAAACGATGGGTCGTGCCCCTCTGCTTCAACCCTCTTTGTACCTCTGTGGTCATGCTC